GGGAGGCTCTAGCCAGGGGAGGGTTGGAATGGGGTCTTTGGCCACTGTGGGTGTACCCCTCAGCCAGTCCCTGCCCTTCCTCCTCCTTTCTGTCAACTCTTGCATTCCCCCTCCCCAGCTCCCACTCTGGCCCTTCCCTGTGAGGTCTGAGCAAGGCTGAGAGAAGCATGCAGACCCTGGGAGAGCTCTCTGGCCATCGCTGCTGTCCCCAGAAAGACGAGGTTCCCTCTGCATTCAACAAGTTTTCCCAAAAGGCTCCTCTCCCCTGCTGTCTCATGCCAGAGTAGCTTCTAGGCCTGGTCTGGTTAACAGGACCTAGGGACCCACATGAACTTGGATCTCTGACCTGTTCTAGGCTAACCAAAACTCCTACTCATCCATCACTCTGCGCACGCACACGTTGTCTGTGTCTTTTTTTAAGCATTATTTTTCTAGCCCTGCCCAGGAGTGAGTGGCTCCTCCCTCATTGAGCTGGGAACAGAAGTAGGAAATGGGGTTGAAAGAACGTGCTAATGACCACTGCCTGCCTCATGTTCCCTCCCTAGAGCTGACAGTGCAGATCTCCCAGGAGACGACTGCAGATGCCATCGCCCGGAAGCTGAGGCCTTATGGAGCTCCAGGTGTGGTCCTGACCTAACGAGGGGTTTGGAGGGTGGGGGACTACCCTAGGGGCCCCTTACATGCTCCTCTCCTAGCTTTCTCTTGGAGTGGTGAGGATGACATCAAAAAGGGATGGGGGCCTAAGCAGCCACAGACCCATCTCCATCCAGCAAGCTGACTTAAAGTGGGTGCAGGTGCCCAGAACAGGCAAGCTGAAAGTGATCAGACCCCACGCCCAGATGACTAGGAAAGTAGTGGGTGGAGAACCATCCAGCATGGTGCTGGAAAGGCACCCCGTGTGGTTCTGTTGTTGACAACAACCCCCTGGGAGTGGGATCATTATCCTTTTACACAAAGGGAGGCTAGGGCTCAGACAGGTCAATAAACTGAGTGGGTCATCCAGCCAGGATCAGACTGACCCAGGCTCAAGTCCCACTCTGCTCCTTCTCAGCAGGCTTCTCCCTGGTTGTGGGATCTGGATGAGCTCCTTCCCCTGAGCCTGTTTCCTCCTCTCCTCTCCTTCCCACCAGGGTACCCAGCCAGCCATGACTCATCCTTCCAGGGCACCGACACAGACTCATCGGGGGCACCCTTGCTCCAGGTGTACTGCTAACCCCTGCCAGGCCCAGCTGCCACACCGTTTCTGGGAGAAGCACAGCCTACAGAATGAAGAGGGGGACCAGGAACCCCTGAGGGAGGGGCTGGGCCTTAGACCTGAAGCAGTGCCCACTCTGGCTCCTCCTGCCTTGGCTGACTGGGTTCCTGGACCATGTGCATTTCACTGGGCCATGGGGTCTACATCTCTGCATCCCCAGCTGGTCTGATCCCTGCCTGGGCCTCTTCCTTCCTGCTCATGGTCTTCAGGTGGCCTGATCATGGAAAGTAAGGACTTAGGCATTACCTTCTGGGAGTGAACCCTGACTCCATCCCCGTATTGCCACCCTCACCAATCATACAAACTTCTCCCTCCCTGGGGGAATTCAACGGCTAAAAGAAGCTTATCTTAAATATATTGTATTGGGGGGTGGGCAGGGCCCACTCTATGTTATGTTAAGCAGTTGGTTCTGGTTCTTGGCTGATGTTCTGTATGTTAACATGACCATAGTTTTAAGGACAAAGGTAATTGGTATCTGCCTGCTTATCTTGGCTGTCCTTTCTCTCCCGTCTGCCTTCACTTAACTGCTGCGCAGAGCAGGAGACAGGATATAGGTGTCCAGCCTGGCTTAGTGCTCTGCAGTTGAAGTAGGAAGAATAAAATGGGAGTAATGCCCCCATTTCAGGTTCACTGTGAGTTCCAGGAGATAAAGAACCAAGCACAGAGTCTGTGCCTGAGAAAGGTTGGATAAATGGTTTCTGACACTGTTTGAGAGGTTCTTCGAGGGAGACCTGTCTGAACTGCCTCTGCTCTCCCAGTCCACCACCTGCAGGCTGGCCTGCTTCTGCCCAGCCCCGTTTCCCCAAAGCCCTGATCATTTGTTGGCCCTACCCAGCCTTGGACCTGCTGCTCCTCTCCCACTCTCTCTGTGGTGGTAACAGAGCACTGTGGTTTTCTTTTTTTTTTTTTTTTGAGATGGAGTTTTTGCTCTTGTTGCCCAGGCTGCTGGAGTGCAATGGCGCAATCTCGGCTCACCGCAACCTCTGCCTCTTGGGTTCAAGTGATTCTCCTACCTTAGTCTCCCGAGCAGCTGGGATTACAGGCATGAGCCACCATGCCTGGCTAATTTTGTATTTTTTAGTAGAGACAGGGTTTCTCCATGTTGGTCAGGCTGGTCTCAAACTGCTGACCTCAGGCGATCTGCCCACCTCAGCCACCCAAAGTTCTGGGATTACAGGTGTGAGCCACCGTGCCCGGCCAGCACTGTGGTTTTCACCAGTATCTTGGCTTTTCCAATAACCTTGGAGAAGGGATATTATATTTCACAGAGAGGAAACCTGGGGCTCACAGTGAGGTCAAGGAACTTGGTGGGACACGCAGTTAGTAACTGTGGCTCTGGCCTTGCTGGGGCAGACGCAGAATCCCTTCTTTAGGTATCAGAGCCCATGAGTTGAGAAGGATCCTACTTGGCTGCTCCTCACAGGCAGGCTTATCTACTGGTCCTCTTTCAGCAGAGAGGCCAGGGCAGGCCCACCAGCCCTTAATTAACAAACCAGCTAGGTGGTGTTGATCCAGCTCCCACATGACCGGCTGCCCCCACCGCCCTTTTTATTGTTCCAAAAGGCACCCTTTGGAAAGTAACTACTAGACAAACTGTACTTGTTTGTCCAGTTTCCTAAGGGAAACAGGATGATCTCTCGGGACTATGAACGTAGGGTCCAGTTCTAACTCCAGGCTCTGCTGTCGCATCCGGGTGGCCTCCACAAGACTAAAATGACCACAGGGCAGAATAGGAGTAGAGTGGGAGTGACACCACAAACCCTCCACTCTAGCCTCAGCCGTAGAGCACCATTTTCCAAACCTAGCCTTGTAAACCACTATTTGCATTCCCAGAAAAAAAAGGTTTAGCAAGTTTGGAAAACAGACAAAGCTATGTACTGCATAGCCTCTCTGAAATCTTTAACAAGCTATTCTGAATTTCTTTTTTTTCCCGAGACAGTCTCGCTCTATGGCCCAGGCTGGAGTGCAGTGGCGCATCGCAACCTCCGCCTCCCAGGTTCAAGTGATTTGTCTGCCTCAGTCTCCCAAATAGCTGTGATTACAGGCAGGTGCCACCACACTCAGCTTTTTTTTTTTTTTTTTTGAGAGAGAGTCTCGCTCTGTTGCTCAGGCTGGAGTGCAGTGGCGCAATCTCGCCTCACTGCAAGCTCTGCCTCCCTGGTTCGTGCTATTCTCCTGCCTCAGCCTCCCGAGTAGCTGGGACTACAGGCGCCCACCACCACACCCAGCTAATTTTTTGTATTTTTAGTAGAGACGGGGTTTCACCGTGTTAGCCAGGATGGTCTCAATCTCCTGACCTTGTGATGCACCCGCCTTGGCCTTCCAAAGTGCTGGGATTACAGGCATGAGCTACTGTGACCAGCTACTCTGAAATTCTAAAAAAGACATCTGCATTCCAGAAATTTAGGAGCCAGAGAACTAAGCACTCACAGCAAGTCAACCTAGACATTCTTGCTACAACCTCTGTGGCTGAAGCATTCTGACCTCCACCCTCTAGCCAAAGTGGGGCAGGGGTCAGCTCTGTGGGCTGGATCTGAGCAAAGGGGAGCACCTCATCAGCCCTGGGAGCTAGCTTTGAGAAGGCCTAGAATCTGCAGAGGTCCAGGTCAGAGATAAAAACAATGAGGCCTCACTGGACTTTACTCTGTCCTCCTGGTAAGGTCCCTGTACCATACACACACCAGATCTGAGGCCTGAGCTGTCTTCCTGGTACCCCTCCCACGCCAGGCAGTGTCACCCTGGCCCATGCTGCTCTTCTGTCCTGGTACACAATAGTCTCTAGTTTGAAGAATACTTGATTCACGGCTAGAGGGCAGACCCGCTGCAGTGGGCAGTGAAAATCAGATCGACAAGTCCAGCGGTCTTAAAACTGTTGGGTCGGCCGGGCGCGGTGGCTCAAGACTGTAATCCCAGCACTTTGGGAGGCCAAGACAGGTGAATCACGAGGTCAGGAGATTGAGACCATCCTGGCTAACACGGTGAAACCTCGTCTCTACTAAAAAATACAAAAAACTAGCCGGGCGTGGTGGCGGGCGCCTGTAGTCCCAGCTACTCAGGAGACTGAGGCAGGAGAATGGCGGGAACCCGGGAGGTGGAGCTTGCAGTGAGCTGAGATCCGGCCACTGCACTCCAGCCTGGGCAACAGAGCGAGACTCTCTCTCAAAAAAAAAAAAAAAACCTCTGCTGGGTCACGCGCCCCTTTGAGAATCTGACACGTGTTCTGGTCTCTGTAGGCTGAAAAACTCAACCTTTGCTCAGAAACATACATAGACTAAATGCCTTGTTTTATTTATTTATTTTTTTGAGATGGAGTCTCACTGTGTCACCCAGGTGCAATCTGGGCTCACTGCAACCTCTGCCTCCCAAGTTCAGGCGATTCTCCTGCCTCAGACTCCCAAGTAGCTGGGATTACAGGTGTGCACCACCACACCCAGCTAATTTTTATATTTTTAGTAGAGACTGGGTTTCTCCATGTTGGTCAAGCTGGTCTCAAACTCCTGATGAGTTGATCCGCCCCCCTCAGCCTCCCAAAGTGCTGGGATTACAGGTGTGAACCACCACACCCGGCCAAGCCCTGTTTTAATCTTCACTTTAAGTAATGAGAAACTGAGGCCCAGAGAGGGCAAGGATTTGCCCTAGGTCACATGGCAGAATCTGGGCTAGATGCCAAACTCCCTGTTCCTAGCAGCAGCCGTAAGAGGCCTGTGCCCCAGAGAAAGGCCAGAGGCAAGAGAGGACACAGAAGGAGCTGGGCAAATTGTTTTAATGTGTAACAGTAGGCCAACTGGGGAGGACAAGGCCCCAAGCCCCAGCCTTTCTCCTGATGCCCTGGGACCTGTGTGCCTGGAACATTCCCATGCCTGCCCCAAGCCCCGAGGCCCACAAGTCCCAGAGAAGAGTGGGAAAGTAAGTTGGGTAGTTGCAGCTCAGCCCCAAGAGTTCAGGGAGGAAAAAACAGGGGCTAGTTGAATTTAGCCTTGGAAAAATCCATCTCCGGATGCTGATCCATGAACCTGGAGAAAGGGAAGCAAGAAGATGAAACAACTCATCCTTCTCTTCTAAAGCTGTCCCTTCTCCCAGCACCCCCGTATCAAGTCTAATCTCTTTAGACCTCAGCAACACCAAGCCAGGCTGGGCAAGAGCAGTGCCCAGGGTATCTGAGACCCATTTGAGCCCCGAGGTTGGAAGCTAGGGCGCCAACACTGGCACTGTTTTCCTGTAGGTGGCAATGACCCGCCTGTTACCCCTTCCCTCCTATCATGAGCCATGAGCCGGCCTTGCCCTCAAGATGACCTCAGCAAGTGACAAGAGTAGGCAAGCCAAAGCCATAAAGCCATAAGCATGGCTGGAAAGGGGGCAGGGCAGCTCCTGAGGCAGCTCAGTGATCCACTCACTGCTGTCACTGAAATCTAAGCCCCCAGGCACCCACCCTCCCCCAACCCCTCTTGCTCACTTCTTCAGAATCTCCTGTTTCTTCTGTTCGTCTGAGGTTGGCAGCCCCATGGACTTCTGTCTCTGGTCATACATCATCTTTTCCACCATGCTGCGAGTCTCACTGTCCAGGTCTGACAGCTGAGGGCAGGCAGTGACGGGAATTGGTGAAGCTCTGGAAACACCTAGGCCCCTCACCCTCCTGCCGAAGCTCTCCCAACCAGCCAGGGCTCACCTTGGAATTCTCAGGGTTAATCTTCTTGGTGTTGATCTCAGGGTCACTGGACACCAAGCGGCTCCACCACTCCATCTTATTGATCTGTGAAGAGAACCACCAGGGGGTGGGAGGTGGCCTGCTCTGTGCACCAGGAATCACCCCTTAACCCTTTCACAACCAAACTCTCTCCCATCCACATCCTGCACCTGAGACCCCTGCAGGCCTATACTGGGTCCAGAGGTACAAGACTCTGCCCTTCCTGCAGCTAGGGGAGACAAAGAGGCAAACAGTTACAAATCAGTGTGATAACGGAAAGAAGAAAGCCGTAAGGGAGATATTCATCCAGGGTGGAGGGAGAAAAGTTTGAAAGTGACACTTGGGCTGAGCCCTAAGACACAAAGCAGTATTCCAAATTTAAAATGGAAGAAAATTTTCTTTCTTTTTTTTTTTTGAGATGGAGTCTTGCTCTTCTTGTCCAGGTTGGAGTGCTGTGGCACCATCTCGGCTCACTGCAACCTCTGCCTCCCAGGTTCAAGCAATTCTCTGGCTTCAGCCTCCCGAGTAGCTGGGATTATAGACATGCACCACCCACCACACCAGGCGGATTTTTGTATTTTTAGTAGAGACAGGGCTTTACCATATTGGGCCAGGCTGGTCTCAAACTCCTGACCTCAGGTGATCCGCCTGCTTCAGTCTCCAAAAGTGTTGGGATTACAGGTGTGAGCCACCGCGTGCAGTGGTGCAGTCTCAGCTCACTGCAACCTCCGCCTCCTAGGTTCAAGCGATTCTCCTGCCTTAGCCTCCCAAGTAGCTGGGATTACAGGCGCCTACCCCCATGCCCAGCTAATTTTTTTGTATTTTTAGTAGAAATGGGGTTTGCCATGTTGGCCAGGTTGGTCTCGAACTCCTGACCCCATGATCTGCCCACCTCAGCCTCCCAAAGCACTGGGATTATAGGCATGAGCCCCACGCCCAGCCTGAAAAAGTTTTTAAGCAGGGAAGTGCCAGGCGTGGTAGCTCCTACCTCTAATCCCAATACTTTGGGAAGCCAAGGCAAGAAGATCCCTTGAGCCCAGGAGTTTCAGACCAGCCTGAGCAACATGAGACCCTGTCTCTACAAAAAACATTTAAAAATTAGCCAGGAAGGGTGGCGCTCACAGTTACTCAGGAAGCTGAGGTGGGAGGGTCGTTTGAGCCCGGGAGGTCAAGGCTGCAGTAAGCCGTGATTGCACCACTGCATTCCAGCCTGGGTGAGTACAAGATCCTGTCTCAAAAAATAATAAATTTAAAAGGCAGGGAATGGGCAGGGAGTGGTGGCTCATGCCTGTAATCCCAGCATTCTGGGAGGCCAAGGCAGGCGAATCACGAGGTCAGGAGATCGAGATCATCTTGGCTAACACGGTGAAACCCCGTCTCTATGGGTGGATCATGAAGTCAGGAGATCGAGACCATCCTGGCTAACCTGGTGAAACTCCGTCTCTACTAAAAAAATACAAAAAACTGGCCGGGCGCGGTGGCTCAAGCCTGTAATCCCAGCACTTTGGGAAGCCGAGACGGGCGGATCACGAGGTCAGGAGATCGAGACCATCCTGGCTAACACAGTGAAACTCCGTCTCTACTAAAAAATACAAAAAACTAGCCGGGCGAGGTGGCGGGCACCTGTAGTCCCAGCTACTCGGGAGGCTGAGGCAGGAGAACGGCGTGAACCCGGGAGGTGGAGCTTGCAGTGAGTTGAGATCCGGCCACTGCACTCCAGCCTGGGCGACAGAGCGAGACTCCGTCTCAAAAAAAAAAAAAAAAAAAAAAATACAAAAAACTAGCCGGGCGAGGTGGCGGGCACCTGTAGTCCCAGCTACTCTGGAGGCTGAGGGAGGAGAATGGCGTGAACCCGGGAGGCGGAGTTTGCAGTGAGCCGAGATTGCGCCACTGCACTCCAGCTGGGCCACAAAGCAAGTACAGAGGCATGGAGGGGTGAGTCAGGGCAGCCAGTGCCAGTCGGGCAGGCTGGGACAGGGTCTTATGTGCCCTGAGAAGTTCTCCTCAGACCTTTGGCCCTTTTCAGAGACCACCTTTATTTACTGGTGTCTGTGTCCCACCTCTCTGTAAAGGCAGTGAGGTTGAGCATGTAGGCTTCCTGAGGGCACAGATTTTCCTATGTTTTGTTCACTGTTCTCTCTCCAGCACTTAGAACAAGAACAGTACCACGCACAGAGTAGGTGTTCAAGTATTTGATGAATTGAATCCATGTACAGACCTAGTGAAAAAGAAGTGGCTTTAGAACCTAAGACTTTCTTTTTTTTTTTTTGAGACGGAGTCTTGCTCTGTTGCCCAGGCTGGAGTGCAGTGGCGCAATCTCAGCTCACTGCAAGCTCCGCCTCCTGGGTTTACGCCATTCTCCTGCCTCAGCCTCCTGAGTAGCTGGGACTACAGGTGCCCGCCACCTCGCCCGGCTAGTTTTTGTATTTTTTTTTTTTTTTAGTAGAGACGGTGTTTCACCGTGTTAGCCAGGCTGGTCTCGATCTCCTGACCTCGTGATCCGCCCGTCTCGGCCTCCCAAAGTGCTGGGATTACAGGTTTGAGCCACCACACCCGGCCAGAACCTAAGACTTTCAATTCTGACTCCACCCCTTCCCAGAGGCAGGAGCTTGGGTAAATCAGTGACCTCTTTTCCTGACTCAAGCCTGTAATCTCAGCACTTTGGGAGGCCAAGGTGTGAAGATCGCTTGAGACCAGGAGTTCAAGACCAGCCTGGGAAATATAGTGAGACCTCCATGTCTTTACAAAAATTAATAACAAAAATTAGTCAAGCGTGGTGGTGTGCACCTGTAGTCTTGGCTACTCAGGAGAATGAAGTGAAAGAATTGCTTGGGCCCAAGAGTTCAAGGCTGCAGTGAGCTAAGAAGGTGTTACTGAACTCTAGCCTGGGCAACAGAGTGAAACCTTGCCTTTAAGAAAATAAAATAGGGACAGATCTACTTTAAAGAGTGTTGTCATGGGGATTAAGATAATTCCACAATGCCCCCAGCATGGCTCCTGAGTAAAATAAGCACACATCCTCCTTTCTTCTTCCATCAACACCCCAGGCTAGAAGGGCTGGGCCTCACATACCTTCTCCAGATGCACAGTCACCACCTTGCCATCCTCAATGAGCCACGAGCTCTCCTCCACCTTCACTTCGTTGTAAAGCTCCCCATCGATGATCGCTGGCTGCCCCTTGAGCCCCACCCGGAGGTGCCGCCGCTGGATGTCCACCACCACATCCTTCCCTTTCAGCCGGAAGTTCACACGGAAAGGGACCGCTAGCTGCATAGGGCAGAGGCAGTCAGAAGAAGCCACTAAGTGCTGCTGGTACCCCAGGCTGGCTCCCTAAGCTTCACCTCTGGTCCCTGCCACTCACGTCCAGCTCCGACAGGGTCTGGCTCCAGCGGTAATTGGGCAGGTCTGCCCCGTTGCCTAGGTTGGGCTTCAGTTTTCCTTTGTCCTTCTCATCTTCCTCCTCCTCATCTTCCTCAGTCTCCTGCTTATAATCAGGGACACTCAGCTACTTACTTGACAAACAAGACACACATTGAACCCTCACTGGGCCAAGCCCAGGGCTAGCACTGGGCATACAGTCACAAAAGAAAAGAGACTTGGTACCTGCCCACTCCACAGAGGGGCAGACCCCAAGCCTTGGTCCACTGGGAACCAGGTAAAACGTGGTTCTGATCTCAGGCTGAGAGGAGCTCAGACTACTATACCATGTGACAAAGGATATGGCTGGGCCCACAGAACCCAGCCAACCTCAGATGGGACCTGTAATAGGCACTGCCCTTTCTGGCTCTTGGGTTTTCCTGCCATAAATGGGTTAAGGCCAGTCGGTTTTTTTTTTTTTTGAGACAGAGTCTTGCTCTGTTGCCCAGGGTGGAGTGCAGTGGCGCGATCTCGGCTCATGGCAACCTCCGCCTCCTGGGTTCAAGCAATTCTCTGACTCAGCCTCCCGAGTAGCTGGGATTACAGGTGCCCGCCACCACGCCTGGCTAATTTTTGTATTTTTAGTAAAGACAGGGTTTCACCATCTTGGCCAAGTTGGTCTTCAACTCCAGACCTCGTGATCTACCCGCCTTGGCCTCCCAAAGTGCTGGGATTACAGGCGTGAGCCACCACGCCCAGTGAATTTTTTTTTTTTTTTAACCTGGATCCTTTGGTTCAATGTCTCTGAGTGTGATCTTAAAGTATGGGGAAGATTCCCAAAGCCGGGAGGGGAGGGGTTAGGATAAGGAAGGGTATTTCAGAGAAAGTAGTAGGCAGCAGAGTTCCTGTAAGTTCCAACCTCCTGGCTCATCCCAAGTCCCTGCAGTCCATCTCACCTGCTTCCCTGGGGAGTCAAGGCTGCCGTTCTTGAGCTGGGCCTCATGATTCTCTGCATCCTTTTTCTGGAGCAAAGAGCACAGCAGTTGGCAACAGGACCCCCTGCTCAGTGCCAGTGGGGATCTGAGGGGTAGAGAAGGGAAGCCCACTCTTCACCTGGTCAATCTCTAGCTGCAGCCTCTCTGCCTCTTCATCAGTTAGCTCCTTGATCTGGGGCCCTGAGGTCTCTGACTTGGCTTCCTTGGCCAGCCTGGCCGCCCGCTCTGCCTTCTCCCGCCGCTCGGCCTCCTGCCGGGCTCTCTTCTCCCGCCGGGTCTTCTGTGCCAGCTGATTGTGGTGGCTAAAAGTCTGGGTGATAAGCTGGAGAGGGAAGAAAAGCCATGAGGCATCACAGCAGGGGACAGTGTCCCATAGCCTGGAGTCCAGCCCTGCTCTCTACCTGCTGGGTGCAAGGGCAAAGCACTGCACCCAGAACCTCAGTTTCCTCATCTGCAAAATGAAAATACATCTGTCTTATAGGGTTGTAATGAGAATACCTGCAAAGCACCTGTCTCAATAAACTGGCTGTTTTAAAAAGTGACGCTTGGCCGGGCGCGGTGGCTAATGCCTGTAATCCCAGCACTTTGGGAGGCCGAGGAGGGCAGATCACGTGAGGTCAAGACCATCCTGGCCTTCATAGTGAAACCCGTCTCTACCAAAAATACAAAAAAAAAAAAAAAAAAAAAAAAAAAGCTGGGCATGGTGGCGTGTGCCTGTAGTTCCAGCTATTCGAGAGGCTGAGACAGGAAAATCGCTTGAACCTGGGAGGCAGAGGTTGCAGTGAGCCGAGATCGTGCCACTGCACTCCAGCCTGGTGACAGAGCAAGACTCCATCTCAAAATAAATAGATAAATAAAGGAATTGGAGACTAGTCTGGCCAACATGGTGAAACCCCATCTCTACTAATACAAAAAATTAGCCAGGCGTGGTGGCGTGCGCCTGTAATCCCAGCTACTCATGAGGCTGAGGCAGGGGAATTGCTTGAACCAGGGAGGTGGAGGTTGCAGTGAGCTGAGATCAGGCCACTGTACTCCAGCCTGGGCGACAAAGTGAGACCCTGTCTCAAAAAAACAAAACAAAAAAAGTGACGCTGTTAAAAGCAAAACTCAAGCCTCAGTCCCTCACAAGCCTTTCTTGAATTCTCAGGCCCACAATGACCGGCTCTTCTGACTAATCACTCTTACTCTTAGTGCATCCTGTCTCCAAGACCACAGTCCAGCTATGCAAGACTTGACACCACACCCAGAAAGGCCATGTTAGCAGAAAGCCAGTGAGCTTTCTTTTCTTTTTCTTTTTTTGAGATGAAGTCTCGCTCTTGTTGCTCAGGCTGGAGTGCAATGGCGCGATCTCAGCTCACTGCAACCTCCGCCTCCTGGGTTCAAGTGATTCTCCTGCCTTAGCCTCCCGAGTAGCTGGGATTACAGGCATGTGCCACCACGCCTGGCTAATTTTGTATTTTTAGTAGAGATGGGGTTTCTCCATGTTGGTCAGCCTAGTCTCAAACTCCTCACCTCCAGTGATCCGCCTGCCTCAGCCTCCCAAAGTGTTGGGATTGTAGGTGTGAGCCACCATGCCCAGTCAAAGCAAGGAAGAGCCTGTTCACCCTCTCTCCAGCCAGCAAGCTGTTAACTTCAAATCCTTTTTCTCCACTACACCTTCCCAAGTTTCCACCCCACGATGTGCCAGCCAGCTTCCCTGCTACCCAAGGGCGACCCTCCACCCATACTATTGCCACCTGTCATTATTTGGCTCCTGGCCTTAGACGAGTGAACAACTTTGACTCTTTCTAAGCCTCAGTTTCCTTATCCGTCATGAGGATTGAGTATGACAGCACAAATCAAGAGCCTAGTGAGGTCCACATCACAGGGTTCCCCTGACCTGCAGCATCAGCATCACCTACAACCTGTTAGAAACGCTAAATCCTAAGCCCCACTCCAGATCTACTGGATCAGAAATTCTGGGGTATGGCCAGGCAATCCGTATTTTTAACAAGCCCTCCTGGCCAAGTTCCATGCATACTTCAAAGTCGCACCTAGATTTGAGTTCCTGGTCTACTCTTACTTGCGTGACCCTAAGGTCATGTCTCTGTGCCTCTATCTTGTTGTTATTATTTCTGAGGCAGGGTCTCACTCACCCAGGCTGGAATGTAATCAACCTCCCTGGGCTAAGGTGATCCTCCCACTTCAGCCTCCCCAGTGGCTGGGACTATAGGTATATGCCACCATCCCTGGATAATGTTTTTATTTTTTGTAGAGACAAGGTTTCGCCATGTTGACCACGCTAGTCCAAACTCCTGGGCTCAAGTGATTCACCTGCCTCTTCTTCCCAAAGTGCTGGAATTACAAGTGTGAGTCATTATGCCCAGTCTATGTTATTATTTCTAAAAGCAGTCTTGGCCAAGTGTGGTGGCTCATGCCCATAATACCAGCACTTTGGGAGGCCGAGGCGGGCGGATCACCTGAGGTCAGGAGTTCTTGACCACCCTGGTCAACATGATGAAACCCTGTCTCTACTAAAAATACAAAAATGAGCCAGGTGTGGTGGCACATGCCTGTAGTCCCAGCTACCTGGGAGGCTGAGGTGGAAGAATCACTTGAACCCAGGAGGCAGAGGTTGTAGTGAGCAGAGGTCGCGCCACCATCCTGGGCAACAGAGTGAGACCCTGTCTCAAAATAAATAAATAAATAAAAGCAGTCTTGGCATATGTTGTTCTTTGCCTGGAATGTCTCGTCCCCACTCTCAGGTCACCTGGCAAACCAATTCATCCTCCATGACCAGTCAAGTGTCAAAGTTTCACCTCTGGCCCAGGAACATACCCTTAGGACACTCAACTCAATGCCAACCCATACGCAGTGTGCATGTGCACACACACGCACACACCTCTAGAGGCCTTGCCATGTGATCAGTGGTCAATAAACCCTCTTTCAAGCATCTCTAAGACAGAACTGCAGGGAAAGCTCTGCAGGGGCTCAAGGTCACAGAAGTCACCCACGGGGCCCCAGACCTGGGGTTCTGCTAAATGCCCTGTGGATTCTCATCCATTTGATGCCAATTTCTCCTGCTATGCCCAAACCCCCTGCCCCATGCCACACCACAGTAGCTCCACACTCTACAAGGTTAAAGAATACCAAATATACCTCCTAAACCACGAATTAAACTGGTAGGGGAGGCCAGTCTGCTGTTAATGGAAACCATAGGTCATAATTATGCCAGCAGAGGCTGTTCCACCACAGGGCCTTGGTCCCAAGTCCCTAGTCAGAGAGACCTTGAACTAAAGCCATTTGCCAACCAGTGGCCAAAGGGAGGTGGGAACAGGGCCCTCCCCTCTCCCAGCTCCACTGAATCATGTCACATCCCATTTGTACTGTTCCTTCCTAGCTCCTAGAGGTTAAGCAAGGGCAGAGCTAAACCACCAGGCAGAGTCAAGGCCAATCACAGCAGCCTCTGACCCCTCCTCCCATCAACTTGACGTAGGCCCAACCTCAGACAGATAACCCCAGGGGTGTGGAAGCCTACCCAGAGGCTGTCACAGACTCAAGCTTCAGTCACTGGACACATATTTGGGAACCATAGCCAACCAGGGTGGGGAGGGCTGGGCCTGCTCTAAAGCCAAGCCTGTCGCTCTCCCCAAGAAGAGGCCCAGGACAGTACAGGCATGTGCCACAATGCCAGCCCTCTCAAATACTTTTCAGAAGGTAGAAGAATTTTATGAAAGAGTTGTTATTAAAATGCTAATCCAGGTCAGGCACGGGGGCTCCCATCTGTAATCCCAGCACTTTGGGAAGGAGAGGCAGACAGATCACTTGAGCCCAGGAGTTGGAAACCAGCCTGGGCAACATAGGAAGACCCTGTCTCTATAAAAAATACAAAAATTAGCTGAGTGTAGTGGTACGTGCCTGTAGTTCCAGCTACTCGGGAGACTGAGGTAGGGGAATTGCTTAAGCCCGGGAGGTCAAGGCTCCAATGAGCCATGATCACACCACTGCACTCCAGCCTGGGAGACAGAGCAAGACTCTGTGTCAAAAAAATTAAATAAATATAAATAAAAAATAAATAAATAAATGCTAATGCACTGGGGAACTACAACTGTACAAATAAATTGAAGTTTACCGGGCACAGTGGCTCATACCAGTAATCTCAGCACTTTGGAAAGGTCGAGGCGGGCAGATCGCTTGAGCTCAGGAGTTTAAGACCAGCCTGGGCAACATGGTGAGACCCCGTCTATACCAAAAATACGAAAATATTAGCTGGGCATGGTGGCACATGCCTGCAGTCCCAGCTACTCGAGAGGCTAAGATGGGGGGACTGCTTAAGCCTAGGAGCCGGAGGTTGCTGTGAACCAAAGGTTATAGTGAGCCGAGATTGCGCCACTGCACTACAACTTGTGTGACAGCGAGAACCTGTCTCAAAACAAAAAACCCCCTAAACGATGGGGTTTGGAGTTTCTAGGTTGCTGAACACATCAAGGTGTTGGGAGGGTGGCATACCCAGAGAGGGTATGGAGGCTCCATGCCCCACCCCAATACCTAGCCCTACACAGCTATTTGGCTGTTCCTGAGTTATGTCTTTTATAATAAACCAGTAACAGTAAATAAAGCACTTTCCTGAGTTCTGAATCATTCTAGCAAATTATTAAACCTGAAAAGGTGGTCATGGCAAACCCCAGTTTACAGCTGGTTGGTCAGAAGTACACAAGGCAACTTGGAACTTATGACTGGTGTGTCAAGTGGCCGCCGTCTTATGGGACTGAGTCCTTAACCTGTGGAAGCTGCAGTAATTCTGGGTAGTTGGGGTCAGAATTCAATTGAATTGTAGGACACCCAGTTGGTGTCCAGAGAACTGGAGAATTGGTTTGTTGAGTGGTGGAAAAACCCACACATTTGGTGTCAGAACTGCTGTGAGTAAAAACCATTCTTAGGATGCAATATGCAAAATCCAGATTTTGGTAAACTTTGCCAGGACAAATAACTGTTTCTTCAAAAAACAAACTGCAAGAAAAAAAAGAGATCTCTTGTGTTTTATTTTTTAAATCTTTACATTTTCTTTTGTAGGCCAGGCAGGGTGGATCACCTGAGGTCAAGAGTTAGACCACTGGAGTTTGAGACCAGCCTGGCCAACATGGCGAAATCCTGTCTCTACTAAAAATACAAAAATTAGGCCAGGCTCAATGGCTCACGCTTGTGATCCCAGCACTTTGGGACGCCGAGGCGGGCGGATCACCTGAGGTCGGGAGTTCGAGACCAGCCTGACCAACATGGAGAAACCCTGTCTCCACAAAAATTAGCCAGGCGTGGTGGCGCATGCCTGTAATCCCAGCTACT